AAATATATATATATACATTTTTTTTTTAACATTCAGGGGGGCACACACCATTGACCAACATTTAAGGGGGCACGCACCGTTGACCTCCAACATGTAAGGGGGCACACACCATTGACCAACAACATTTAAGGGAGCACGCACCGTTGACCACCAACATTTAGGAGGGCACGCACCGTTGACCACCAGCATTTAGGAGTGCACATACCATTGGCACACACCATTGACCACCAACATTTAGGAGGGCACACACCATTGGCACCCACCCTTGATCACCAACATTTAGGAGGGCACAAACCATTGGCACCCACCCTCGACCACCAACATTTAGGAGGGCACACACCATTGACCACCAACATTTAGGAGGGCACACACCATTGACCACCAACATTTAGGAGGGCACACACCATTGACCACCACCGTCTAAGGGGGCATACACGCACCGTTGACCCCCCACCGTTTAAGGGGGCACACGCACAGTTGACCACCAACATTTAAGGGGGCACACTCCATAACCTAAACAGTTTTGTTGGTGTTTAACTGTCCTATCCCTAACAAATGTGATAAGCAGTCAACAGCTTAGGTTTTTTTTTTTCTAATTCTCGATCTTGGTTTTGACTGTTCATTCCTTGTAATGGCCGCGGTTCCTTTGCAGGAGGTTCTGCAGGAAAAAGACAACCTAAACCAGCGCTACCTGCGGAAGAGGGCGCTCTACCTGGCACACATGGCTCGCCATTTGTCACGAACGAAGATTTTTGGTAGTGTCAAATTTGCCTACATGAACAGCAACCACTTAAAGCCTGTGCTCCTGCTGAGGCCCCAAGGTAAGCACGAGGTGGGCGGCTTGCATGCAGGAAGAGCTGCTTTATGGTGACATTTAAATGTTTGTAACTGGCAAAAACAACTTTTAAAAATAGAGCGATGGTCCAACTACAAAATTAGTTATGGAGGCTACTGTTACCAGTAAACTGGGACTTGCTGTCTGCACATAGGGATCACTGTGACTTGTGGTACAAACCCTGACATGAGTGTAATTATTGCTGGAGTTGGAGGTGCCCCTGGATTCCTTTTTTTGTGAATTGTTGGAACTTTGATGCTCGTTATATTTGTTGCCTCCATTGTGGTCCCTTCTGCCCTGTTGTGTGCTGAAACCCCTTCAGTAATTGCCCCGTGCATTGGGTCCCGTGTGATTTTTGCCTCTGTGTACTCCTAGTTCATCACAACACAGGCCCCCTGTTTGCTCTAAGTGGCCCAGTAACCTGTAAAAGGGATGCCGTGTCTGTAATTTATATTATATCTCATATTATATCTCTCCCTCCAGGTAAAGATGAAACTCTGGTGACTGTCCGAGTTCACGTCTGTCTTCCTCCCGGGTTCTTCAAATCCAGCCGCTTCTTCCCAAGCAAGAACAATGTGAGGACGGCCTGGTACATGGAGGAGAATAATAACCAGGACGGTAAGCCACGGGCACCCAGCTTGGATCTGTGTGTACATTCACAGCACTGGGCCGTTGTCTTGGTGGACATGGTGTGGTCATGGTGTATATTTTTACATCGAGATTAACCGAGATACAGAGATTTCTATTTACATTACCAGTGGTCGTGTAAAACAAGCATTTAATTAAAATGGATATTAAAGTGAAACTTTTTTTTGAAGCAGCCTTTCTCAACCTCAACCCTTCATATAACATTCAGGTCTCAGAGAATCTCCGCCAATTAATATGATACAGCATTGTAGTGCTTCCTCACATTGATGCCAGTGGGAAGAATGCTCCTTTTACATTGGTGGCCAGTGGGAAGAATGCTGCTTACACTGGTGGCCAGTAGGAAGAATGCTCCTTACATTGGTGGCCAGTGGGAAGAATGCTCCTTACATTGGTGGTCAGTGAGAAGAATGTTCCTTACATTGGTGGTCAGGGGGAAGAATGTTCCTTACATTGGTGGTCAGTGAGAAGAATGTTCCTTACATTGGTGGTCAGGGGGAAGAATGCTCCTTACATTGGTGGTCAGGGGGAAGAATGCTCCTTACATTGGTGGTCAGGGGGAAGAATGCTTCTTACATTGGTGGTCAGTGAAAAGAATGTTCCTTTACATTGGTGCTCAGGGGGAAGAATGCTTCTTACATTGGGAATCATGGGGAAGAATGCTCCTCACATTGGCGGTCACTGGGAGCCCCACTGCAAGGGGTAGTTTGGAATCTTTCCTGGAGTTCAGATATAAAATGCTGAATGTATAGCTTTAGTAGTATGATACATTTCATTACTGATAACCTTTTTGTTGTGGTTTTTTTTTCCATCAGAAAGTGCCAGTGGGCCCCCCACCCCACATTACAACAACGCTGTTCTGTGTGACCTGGCTTTGGAGCAGCATTTTCACCACCTATCCAGCTGCATCACCGACTTCCCTGGCATGAGAGACGGCATTTTCATTCTCAAAGTGTGGCTGCGCCAACGGCAGCTCGACAAGGTAAGACCTTTGAAACGCGGAGGCCCCGGCCAATCTTGAAGCCTGGATTGTCAGTTCTGAAGGTGACATTTGAAGAGTGATTGAAGCTGAAGTGTAATCTGCTTCTATTTTGCCTTCCCTGGTTGTCCCCCTCCTCCCCCTTCATCAATATGTAAATTACATTTTTAATGTTTAATGATTACAGACCTTATTTTAGACCCCATGATGCCATCCCAATGACGGCAGATCATGGCTGGTGGTAGGGGGGCTGTACATAGCTTCCTGAAAACAGCAGAGCACCCTAGGTAACATCCACAGGTGATGCCGATTCTGTGATTTGAAAGAACTGAAGTCTAATGAATGGGCAGGCCAGGAACAGTCCATCTGGGCAGGTCAAGGGTTAGATCAGTGGTGGGCAACTCCGGCCCTCCAGCTGTTGTGGAACTGCAAGTGCCATGAGGCACTGCAAGGCTCTGACAGCCACAAGCATGACTCCCAGAGGCAGAGGGATTATGGAATTTGTAGTTAAAGCACAGCTGGAGGGCCAGAGTTGCCTACCCTTGGGCTAGATGATGCTGCATGTCCTCCGGGCAGGAAATGCATCTGACTTGCTTCAGCTTCTAATGCACATTGTGAGAAGCAATTTCAGTCCAGGAGAGGAGACGGTACTACTGTGCAAGACTGAAGGGGAGGACGGAGGTCAGATTTAAGACTGAAGGGAAGGGCGGAGGTCAAATAGAAGACTAAAGGGAAGGACGGAGGTCATATAGAAGACTGAAGGGAAGGACGGAGGTCATATAGAAGACTGAAGGGAAGGGCGGAGGTCAGATAGAAGACTGAAGGGAAGGGCGGAGGTCAGATTTAAAGTCATGATCAGTCCCCAGGCTTACATCTCGGGGTCTGAAAATGAGGTCTGCTGTCCCTTGCTTGAACCATGCGACCTCTATGGTGAATGTATTCTCTTTTCACTCCAGGGTTACGGCTGCTTTAATGGCTTCTTGGCATCGATGCTTGTAGCGTATTTACTCTCCAAGAACAAGGTGACTCGAATGATGAACGGCCATCAGGTGCTGAGGAACACGCTGCAGTTCTTGGGTATAGGCTCAAATAATTCTCTTTTTTCTTTTTAATATAAATTGCATTTGTCACTCTTTTATTATATTGTTGTTATTATGGATTTTATATTGTGCTAACAGTTTGCACAGCTCTTTACAGTATCCATGGACACAGTACAGGCACAACACCGTTAAAGACAAGCGTTAGGAGGGCTCTGTATTGTTAGTATCGTACATCCAGTAATCATTATTGTTTATTTTTTTATAATTATTTTCTTATTTTTTACTTTTTAATCACCTTTTTTTTTTATTTTTAATTTGTTTTACTTTAAAAAAAAAATGTTTTATAATTTTTTATTCACTTTTTTTTTTGTAATTTAATTTTTTACTTATCATATTTTAAATTTTTTGTTTTATTTATTTTACCAAGCCCCTGTGTGATAGCATTTGGAGGTGACAGGTTCTCTTCATTGAACCTGTCACTTCCAATACAGGAGTTCCAGCACAGCACTCCAGTGACAGCTGAGTGGGGAAGGCTCTCATGTCTCAGTGTTTTCATGGAGCGGAGAACGAATGTTCCCCCGCTCTGCTCCCTGCTCTTCATCCTGAAGTAATTTGCTGTGGTCCCGAAAACAAATGCGGGAAGGGAGAGGCAGCCACCTGAGGG